GTATTCCTGCGAGAAATCCTACTTGAGCCTAATATATGACTTTTTATGTTACTGAATTCTGTTAGCTTTTTGTTAACTAAAGATTTTTATTTTTATCTCCAAAAGGGGTCTTGGCCTATAACTTGTGACATGTTGGGCTTCAGTTGAACTGAAAGATCTTTCTTCTTAGCTTAGCTATTGGAAGAGATTGTGAAGAATTTTTTATCAGTACAAATTAGCCTGTATAAAGTATCTGTAGCTTCTTAAGTCAGTTTCAGTAGGTGGTATTTTTAGGTTTTTTGGTGGCACTGGGAATAGAACCCAGGTCCTCACAGATACTAGCCAAGGACAGTACCAGAATTATATTCAGCTTTCCCCCCCCTCCCCTTTATAGTGCGTTTAGCTAAAGGTTTGTCAGTTTTGTTGATCTTTTAAAAGATAGTTGTTTCCCCTTGTCTGCTGTGTTGCTTTTCATGGATGGGTTCAGTGAGACCCATTCAGTGATGTATTCCATTTAAAATGGAAAATTTCAAAAGTAAGTAACTCATAAGTAAGCAACTCATAAGTCTTAAATTGTGCATCATTCTGCATAGTGTGATGAAATTTCACTGTGTCCTACTCCATGCTGAAGAACATAAGTCATCCCTTTGTCTGGTGTATCCACATGAAACATGCTACCCACTCACCACTTAGTCTCTCTCTTGCTACTGCATGGGCTGTCAGAGTGACTTGTGGTGTTGCAGTGCTTTGTGGAACATTCTAGTTACTGTACTTATGATAGCACCAGTGTGGAAAAGCAGTATTTTTATTATAATATAGTGCTATATGGTAATTGCTTTATTGTTTTTAAGCTTCTTGTGCCCAATTTATATGCTAAACTTTATAATAGATATGTATGTACCAGAATTGTATAGTGAGACCAGGTGTACTGGTGCACGCCTGTAATCCCAGCACTGGGGAGGCTTAAAACAGGATCACTGTCTGTTTGAGCTGCATAGTGAGACCCTGTAATAACCAAATACATTAAAGAGAAAAACGAATAGCATAGTGTATGTAGGATTGACTACCAACTGTAGTTTCAGGTATCTGCAGGGGATCTTTGCTAAGAGGAGCTATTGTAAACAACTGTTTTCCATCTTATATTGTTTCATTTATTTGTGCTTTAATGTATGTTATTTCCTTCTTGCCTTGAGTTTGGTTTGCTTTTTTTTTTTTTTCCCCTGGTTTCTAAAGGTGGAAGGTTAGGCTATTCCTCTTGCTTCCATTGTAGTGCAGGCATCTAGCTACAAATTTTGCTCTGGATACTGCTCTTCTTAGTTCCCTAAGATTTGGTAAATTGTGTTTTTATTTTTGCTTATTTTGAAGTTTTCTAATTTCTCTTGTGATTTTTTTCGTCTCGCTGATTTTTTTTTTTTTTTTTTTTTAAGGAATGTTTCATTTTCACGCACATGTGAATTCCCTGGATTCCTTCCACTATTGCCTTTTCATTTTGCTCCATTCTGATCAGAGAACATACTTTGTTTGGTTGTAGTCCTTTTATTTATTTATTTTTGTGGAACCAGGGATTGAACTCAGGCCCTTGGGCTTTCCAGGGAAGCGCTTATTCTACTGAGCCATCTCTCCGGCCCTGTAGTCCTTTTAAATTTCAGTCTTCTAGTGTTTAGCATTTAATCAGTCTTGAAGAGTGTTCTTACTCACAAAGGATTATGTTTTCTTTGGCTGTTTGGTGGAATATTCCATGGATGTTGTATTAGGAGTTGTTGGTTTGGGGCCTGCCAAATAACTCAGCGGATTAAAGATTGAGACTGGGTGTAGTGGTGTGCGCCTGTGATCCCAACTCTTGGGAGGCTGTAAAAAGGGGGATCACTACGAGTCTCATCTAGTAGTGAGACCCTGATCACCCTGTAGACCCTTCCCTAAAATACAAAAAAAAAAAAGGAGTTGTTGGTTTGTAGTTATTTTTTTTCTTTTTTCTCTTTTTTTAAATTGAGAAATATGAATGAGACAGTTTCACAGCTGATTAATAGGACAGTTTTGATAGTCAATACACTGTACATTGTTATCTTCTTAGTGGTTATCCATGGTACAAGAAGCCGATAGGATATTCTGTCCAAACACTGTTAGTACACCTCTTTCTTCTCATTGAGTTAAGCGAAAGTAGCTGTAAATTTATCCTATTTTGTATATATAAACACAAAATGATCTTTCCCTTGTATCTTTTTTAAAAAATTTTTTATTTATTTATGTATTTTTTTGTCCTGTCAGAGGTGAATATTTTATTGGCATCTAAATACTATAAGTGTTTGAATTCAACTAAACAATCTAACACTGTCTACCAGTCTATAATATTAGTGGGTTATCCTCAGAAGTTATTGACTTGAGCCTTTTATAGCTCATTGTATTAATATGGATTTACTTTATATACCTAATTTTTATACTTTTCTGCTGTATGGCTAAGACCAAGATATAGCAAGACCTATATAACAAGAAATGTAACTTTTGTATCTGATAAGGTCAGCCAAGTACTCTCAGGATTTGTCCTGTAGCCCTGTACTACTCTTTGTACATCCTTTAGTCAGTGTCTGACATGAGAATGAGTCATGGCCATTGCTTGACCAATTTGCTCTCTGTGAAAGCTTGAGAAAATGTTTTTTGTCTCTATGTGACTCTCCCCAGGCACACTTTAGATCATCAAACACATTTCTCTGTGGCTTCATAATCTTCTTGAGTTACATGTTGTTACAGTACAGGTTCTCCTATGGGTTTGTAGTTATTTAAGTCATCTATTTCCTTATTTTCTGCTCAGTTGTTCATTCTGCTACTTACTGGGATACTGAAGTTTCCAGCTATTACTAGTTGTCCCCCGTTAATTCTATCAGTTTTTTGTTTCATGTACCCCTAGACTGTGTTTTGGGGTGAATATATATATATAATATATATAATATATATATATTATATATATATATGATTATTCTATCTTTTTAGTCTTTTATTGTTATAAAATGTTCCCTTTTCTCTAGTAGAAATCTTTATCTAATTGTTTATCTTATTATATCCAGCTCAGTTTTCTTTACTGTTTATATGGCATGTATTTATTCTGTTACTTCCAATCTACTTTTCCTTTTAATCTTAAGTGTCTTTCTTGTATATAGGATATAGTTGAATAATTCTAACAATTTCTCCTTTTTCGTATATTTAATTTACTGACAAGACAGGATTTCTGAAGTTGTTTTTATTTTGCCATTTACTTCCTATATACTTAATACCGGTTTAAATCTACATTATGTCTTTAGTTTTAAGCAGGGTTTTGTTTATTTGTTTGTTTGTTTGTTTAAATTTAGCCTTGGCCCTCTTGTTTGTTTTACTAATTTTAAAATTATTTTCTGTGTGATGTAGAAACTATAGTACAATAATTTATTTATTTTTTAGTTTTATTTGTGTGTGTGTGTGTGTGTGTGTGGCCAGCTCAGCCCACCAGGGGACGGGGCTGGCTGGCATGTGGTGCTGGGGGATTGAACCGTGGTCCCTGTGCTTTCCTAAGCTTGTTCTGAGTAGGTGCTTTAGACCACTGAGCCATCTCACCAGCCCTAGTACAATAATTTAAACAGATTAATATGTTTAATTTCAGTAGTATGTAAAGCTATAGCTCTGTTTCTTCTGATCCCTCTTTCATTTGTACTGCTATTATACAAATTTCACTTTTGTATGTTGAATCCATCCAGTTTTTTTTTTTGTTGTTGTTGTTTTTTGCGGAACCGGGGATTGAACTCAGGCCGTTGCGCTTGCCAGGGAAGCGCTTATTCCACTGAGCCATCTCCCTGACCCCATCCAGTTTTATAGTTAGTTGACTTACTTAGTTTTTAGATTAAATGGAAGAAAGATACAAAGATACTTTTATACTAGGGTATTTGTTGTATTCAACTATGTAGTTGATCATTATTGGTACTTTTTAAATTTATGTATATTCAGATTATTGTCTAATGTTCTTTCATTTTAGTGTCATACTCCTATTAGGATTGTTTATAGTGTTGGTCTGCTAGTGATAAATTCTCTGTCCTAATTTCTTTTTCTTTCTTTTTTTTTTTTTTCTTTTTTTGGAGAGAGAATTATACCTTTATTCCTTGCTTTGCCAATCAGGCAGGCTGAATAGTTTGCTTTTTGGTGATCAGTCAAAGAGACCAAACCCATTATCCTTACCTGACTCCTCCGACTCTTCCTTGGTTTCCGCCTTGGCTGGGCAGCTGCAGCAGCAGGAGCAGCAGTGGTAGCTGTGACAACATGAGCAGCAGCCACAAATGCAGATGGATCAGCTAAGAAGGCCTTTACCTTCTCAGCAAGTGGGAAGGTGTAATCAGTCTCTATAGACAAAGCCAGAACCTGCTTGTACCCATTGATGATAGAATGGGGCACTGATGTAACAGCTGGGTAACCAGTCTGCAGATCAACACTGGCAACATTGTGGACGCCCTCCAGAAAGAAAGAACGCAGAGTTTTTTTCTGTAATGTCAAGCACTTCTGGGTTGTAGATGCTTCCATTGTCAAACACTTGTTGAATGGTCAGCCCAAAGGAGAATGGGGAGATGTTCATGTTCAGGAGGGGCCTCACTGGCTCCCACTTTGTCTCCAGTCTTAATCAGCTGTACATCACCCAGGATTTCAATGGTGCCCCTGGAGATTTTAGTTTTGATGCTCCAAGACTGGAAGCAGGAGGTCTTCTTGGGCCCCAGACCAGTGTTCTGGGCTGACACGGTGACTTCACCTGGTGCAGTGGCACCTGCATGGACAGCAGCAGGCACCTGATCAGCTAGCAGCACATTGCTGAGCTCAGTGAGGTCCTCCTTGGTGAACACAAAGCCCACATTTCCCCGGATGTGAAGCAGCAATTTCTCCAGACCTGGGTTGTGTTTCAGATGTCCTTGGATGGCCTAGCATGTCATAGTATGCCCATCAGCACCACAGCCTTCCCTCAGAGGGACATTCAGATCTGCTGCATCTGGAGCCCACATTGTCTGCTCCCACAGTGAAGCATTCCGGATAATCACCCCAAAGTTGGATGATCTTAAGGAAGTGGTTGGATTTTCAGGTTGCCCTGTCTTCCCTGGGCATCATGGCAGTGCATCAGGGCTTGCCTTGGAAGGTTTAAAGACGATGTCACACTCATGAAGACACCTGGAAAGAGCTCTGTCTTAATTTCCCTCTCCTTTTGTTTTTGGGAGATAATCTTGCTGTGTATTTCATCCTGGCCTTGAACTTTCACTGTGTAGCCCAGGCTGGCCTTCAACTCATGATAATCCTTCTGCCTCAGCCTCTGAGTGCTAGGATTATAGGTGTGCACCACTATGCCTGGCTCTTCTTATTTTTGCTAGTTACGTTTTGGTTGATAGTCCTCTTTCAGTGTTTTTGAATATATCTTCCCATTGCATTCTGGGTTCATGGAGTCTTATGAGGAAGCAGCTCTTGGTCTTACTGGGCATTTGTCTTACATGTGTGTCACCTCTTTTGTTTTTGGCTTTTATTTTATTTTTTAGTACTGGGAATAGAACTTGGGACCTTGCACTTGCCTGGCAGGCACTGTGCTGCTGAGCTATATCTGTGGACCTTTTGTTTGTTTTTGACTTCTAAATAGTTTGATTATGACATGTTTAAGTGTGGATCTCTACAAGAGTTTGTGCCTAGAGTCTGTTGAGCCTCTTAGAAGTATAATGTATTGATTAATGTATTACTTTATATTTATTAAGTTTTCAAATTTATTTCTTCAATTATTATGATTCTTTTCTATTTCCAGGTTCATTTTTTGGCTGGTCAAATCTGTTGTTGAGGTCTGGAGTGAATTTTTAGTAATTACAGTTTTTCACTTCAGAATTCATAAAATGTACTTTTTGGTCCTTATTATTTTGCAATGTACTATATTTATTGTCTTTCTAGTTTCCTCCCAAACATTTCTTTTTCCTATTTTTTCAGTGCTGGATATTGAAGCTGGGGCTTTTGCAATGAGTTGCATCTCCAGTTTTCTTTATTTTTTGACGCTGGGTCTCACTAGGCTTCTCAGTTTTCCCAGCTGACCTTTCAGTCCTGCCTCAGGCTCTCAGTGTGCTGAAATTGCAGGCATGAGTGACCATGCTCACTATTTTCATACATGAATAGTTTTTTGTGAGTTAGCCTACTTTAGGTTATATTTTTCTACCCTATAATAACTTTTTGGGTCTCTAGAATAAATTCCAAACTTTGTAGTATGGCATTGAAGAACATTTATTATCTGGCAAAAAACCCCTGAGAAAATAAAAGCAAAAACCCCAAAACCTAACCACACTTGCAGTCATCCCTCCCTTAGAAAACATTTTATATTATGCCACTATCCATAAATCTCGTCGACTCCCCCTGCCAGTCCGAACCTTGAGCCTGCCAGGCTAACAGTTCAATGCTGAGCCACCTTCCCAGCCCTTCATTAAATTCTGTTTTGAGACAGGACCTCACTGAGTTGCCCAGGCTGGCCTCAGACTGTGTTCCTCCTCCTCCACCCTCCACAGTAGAAGAGATGCAGGGCTGTACCACTACTCCTAGCTCACGGAATCATTTTTCTTTCTGTGGTCATGCTTTACTATGTTATCTCTTTTTTTGGATCAAGCTATATAATTGGATCATTAGTTTTTATGTGTTCCAGTTGATGAAAGGTTTTGACTACCTTTTCTTTACTTTTCACATGTTACTTGGATTTCTGTTTTGTAGATCATTTATCATGTCCCATCCCATTTTCTGAATATTAGCTCAGCTAAGTCATTGACCAGGACTTTTTCTCACAGGTACTTCTATAAGTGTGCCTGAATACTTAAAGGGTGTGTGTGTGTGTGTGTGTGTGTGTGTGGTTATTTTTATTTCTTTTTTGAGATAGGGTCTCACTATGTAGTCCATGCTGGGCTTGATCTCACAGCAATCTTACCTCAGCCTTCTGAGTGTTCAGATTATAGGCATGCACTAGCATGCCCAGCCTAAAGCTGCTTTTAAAATTGAATTAGAATTTAAAATACAGGGGGTGCTGGGGAGATGGCTCAGTAGAATAAGCGCTTCCCTGGCAAGCGCAAGGGTCTGAGTTCAATCCCCAGTTCCGCCAAAAAAAAAAAAAAGAATTTAAAATACATTTCATTTTGTTCAAAAAAACTGTAAAGATGCAAAGAAGTATGGAGAGGTTTTAGATTAAATATTTCGATGAATTCATAGTATTATCTCTCCTTAAAAACATTATAATGGGGCCGGGGAGATAGCTCAGTAGAATAAGCGCTTCCCTGGCAAGCGCAAGGGTCTGAGTTCAATCCCCAGTTCCACAAAAAAAAACAACAACAACAACAAAAAAAAAAAACCATTATAATGTATATTAATATAGCTCATGATCTTTTTGGCTTCCATGCTAGTTCCTCCTCCCTTTCTGTGGGGGAGAGGTCGAGAGAGAGTCCCAGTATGTAGTTCTCACCATGATCCTCCTCCCTCAGCCTCTCCATGTCATCTTTTTTTTTTTTTTGTATTTGGCACAGGGTCTACAGGGCCTACAGGGTCTTACTAAGTAGATAAGACTTGTAATGATCCACCAGTGTTCAGCCTCCCAAGAGCTGGGATTACAGGTGCACACCACCACGCCCAGTCTCAATCGCCATCTCAGTGTACCCCAGGGGCGGGGCCGGCACTGCACACTGGGGATTGAACCCCAGCTATTGCTCTCTGCCTAAGCAGGCGCTTTAGGCTGCTGAGCTATCTGGCTAGGCCTATCATCTCTTTTTAAACATACTTTTTAAAATGTAGTTTTAAGTTCACAGAAAAATTGAATGGAAACTACGGAAGTTTCATATAATGCTTTCCTCTACACAAGTGTGACCCACATTGACACAATTATCATTCGAAGTACTAGTGGGATTTTTTTTGTCATTTAGAGACAGGGTTTTTCTATGTAATTCAGGTCAGGCTGGCCTTGAACTCATTTTGTAGTTTGTGCTGGCTTTGAACTGACAGTGATCCTCCTGCTTCAGTTTCCTGAGAAGCCAGATAGATTCCTTTCTAGATATTTGCAAGATACATAAAGTCTTAGTTTATGAATTGTATCAACTATTAGGGTTTCTTTAAAATGAACTCTGCCTGCTATCCTGTTCTGGTCAGTGTGTTCTCTTTTAAACTCATTTATGTCTTATTTACTTTATTTATTTATTTATTTTTGTATTTTAGGGAAAGGTCTACAGAGTGTTTAGGGTCTCACTACTAGATTGGACTCGTAGTGATCCACCTGTTTACAGCCTCCCAAGAGCTGGGAGTATAGGCGCGCCACCACACCCAGTCTCAATCGCCATCTCAGCGTGTCTTGGGGGCGGGGCCAGCACAGCAGGCCCGGGGATTGGACCCTCACCCCTTTGTCTGCTGATAGGTGCTTTAATCCGCTAAGCTATTTGGCCATCCCTTGTTAATAAATGGCTGGACCATTTATTAACCTACAGCCTTGTTCCAGCAGAACACATGAAGACCTCATGGACAGGGTGGCTATTGACTCTCATGGAAGCACTAGGTCCCTTTTCTGACATGGTGCAGGTCACCTCCTCAGTCCAGCTGTTTTAAAAGGAGCCGCTGTGCTCAGGCTTGGTGTCAGTGCGAGTGGAATTTTGTTAAGAATTTTTCATTCATGCTAGTCTTGGTAACACATGCCTATAATCTCAGAATTTACGAGGTTGAGGTAGGAGGATTGCTGTGAGTTCAAGGCTAGCCTGGGCTATAGCAAGACCCTGTCACAAAAATGAGTAAACAAACAAAAAGAGCTTTCATTAGCTTTTTTGGACACTTAATTCATTGTAGAGTAAGTGTCATGAACTCCATACAAAATTTTAGTTCTTTATGCCAATTTATTGGCGGAAC